CGATTGCTGTGCTAGTACGAAGTCACAAGTCATCGTGGCTGAGGGCTTGGGCATGCTGGCCTTGTTCAAATTGTTGATCACACTAGATAACACGCTCTTTTACAGAAACTGTAACTAAGGTCTGGTCAACATATTTACAGTATAATCTACAGTTGGGCTGTGTGTGTGTTGCAATAGGGGGTGGCTAGCCGCCCTAGTAGACGGGTATCCTCGAATACACATCACAAACACACACACACACACACACTCTCTCTCTCTCTCACACACTCACACACATATATATATGTATGTATGTATGTACCTGTATTACGTGTCTTCTTACGTTTTCAAATTAGTATCTATACACATAAAAATATCATGTACGCATATATACAAGCATGTATGCATAAAAATGCGCAGGTTTTCCCCTGTGTGTATCTACACATACAACATATATTTATATTGTTACGAACACGCATGCGAGTGTGTGCGTATGTGTGTGTACGTGTGTCTGCGTGCATGTAATTAGACGTAGTTTCATTAACAAACGTTTGTGTCTGACTAAGAAAACAAACGTCTAAATGGATTCTCGTATTTTCTGCTTTCTGCCTTTGCATTGCAAGGAACGATTTGTTGTTGTTGTTGTTATTTTGTCGTGCATATCTGTGCAGGAAAGGAAGATGTGGAGAGAGTTTTTTATGTGTGTGCACGCGTGTATAATGATTCGTTGGGAGAAGGACTTACAGGATTTTAACAATTTTCAACATCAAAGGAGCGCTGGTAATAATTCCAGTTCGTGGAATTCTTCATGTCACTAGGTCCGTCCCGCCATGTTTGTCAGACATGCCGTATAACGTTAATGGTTATTGCATCACAAGCCCCAGTCAGAGCGACGTTCTTCACGTAAACGAATCAAATTTGACGTTAGGATGGAACCTTTGAAGTCTTTTTTTTTTCTTTTTTTAAATCTATTTCTGTTTTTATCTCTTTTTAGCTTTCTGTTCGTTATTTTATGCTCTTCACGAACATAATACTAACAGTAAAATCACAATCAGAAGCCTGCATGTGTGTTCGTAAAGATTCACGTTTAAAACTTGCTACCAAAAAAAATAGTCCGATATATTTCTTGCATTCCTTCCTGGAAACATCGCTTTCAAAATAACTTATGTTAATTGACGCCAGCTAATTTTTAGAAAATAATTATTTTCTTAGGTCTTACTCTATATCGTAGCAAATAATTATTTTCGCAACTTGCAGCGGTAAAGTAATGGGGAAATTACTCATCTTGAGAAATCGGAGAGCCGAGGTCGAATTCCAGTCGAGTTCGTTGCATTCACTAATACCCTAGGAAAAGATATGAATCCATTTCTTTTTTCTCCAGCTATAGGTAAATACAGACCTATAGACTTGGTCTTTATGTGCTGTTTCTCCTTAGGATGTAAGCGATCATGGCTCTCCACAACTTCCTGTTGTTTTTGTTATTTCCCCTCAACCCTATTCCGCCATTCAGTTGCTAAAGCTCACTATGCATGTTATGCGTTCTATTCCTCTGTTCCTTTTGTCTTCAATCTGTCCCATGAGTATCAGATTTTCCAAGCCCTCTTTCCTCATTAGGTACCCTAGAAATTTTGACTGTCTCTTCCTGATCTTAAATATAAGTTTCCTTTTTGTTTCCATTTTCTATAAAACTTCGTGGTTGCTCACATAATACGTTCAAAGAATCCTCAACATCCTTCTGTAGAACCACATTATTTTTTTTTTCGCTTCAAATCTCTTTTTCATCTTTGAGGAGATTGTCCAACGCTCACTGCCATACAGGAGGAGAAATATCATGTAACAGTTCAGTACTTATTTTTAGAGAAGCTTTTTGATCTCTTAATACTTTGCTTATCTTGTGGAATGCATCTTTGGCTATCTCAATACATCTTCGGATTTCAGTGTCGCACTTTACCTCTTCTGTTAAAAGACTTCGTAGAGTTAATAGTGAAAGAGAGTTTCATTCTTTATTTTTCGATTGAAGTCACAAGTTGCATATCTAATAGTCAGAAACTTGAGTTCTTCTTTCTTGTAGTAAAGGAGCAAAACTCTTATAGAATAGAAGGAAAACTCTGAATTCAAACCAGCTACTCGAGCTACTGCAGCTTTCGTAAATATGGTGCCCTTACGACCCTAATGTGTTACGGAAGTCATGATCGTGAACTTCTATGGAGTACATCTCTTCAGAACGTGGTCGATCATGGTGTGACATTGAGGCTGTGAGATGGTGAACATTAATTCGAAGCAGAAAAGGGCTTAAGCCCAAAATGAGATACAAAATGGAAGATAGAGAGATAGAGAGGGAAGGGAAAACATTTTTCCTAGTAATTTGGAAGTGAAAAAAGGGCCACCTGGATTGTCTCCCCACGAAATGGAACAATGAACCAAGAGTTTACTTTTTTATCTATCGAAAATCTAACATGTGGTTAAAACAAATTGGGAAATGGCTTTATGTCTTTCTTGAGAAATTAGAAAAACACATGTC